TCGACGATTGTTTAAGTACGCTCTTTGCACTACGCTTTCCAGATCCTCGCAGGATTGCTCGACTTCTTCATCGTCCGCTTGCTGTTTTGGGCTCTGAACTTCAATCATCCTTAGTAGTCTTCTTCTGTCCACCCGCAGAACTAGTAGGCAACACGAGGTGAATGAGGTCACGTCGGTCTACCAGCGGCACAGATCTTTTCTTTACGATGAATCCTGCGCCATTTGTCCAAGGCCGCTTTTCTACGCTTTCCCGATATACATCTGATCGCTTTTGTTCCATCGCGTAATCATTTCGGTGGACCTTCAGGCTTCACACACACTGAGAACATCTGTTTTGATTCGCTTCTCCTCAATGAGGCAGATATCGATGAGTGAATCTGCGACAGAGTTCGGTGTGTAGACAGCCACGATAATCTTGACGATATCCTTTCGCCGTTTGCCAGTTGCGTCTTGACTCTCACCGGCTGTAAAGATTCCCAGTTTTTGGTAAGCCGATGCGGTAGCCTTACGTGCCCGTCCATCTATTTTTTGAGAATCGTAATTTTTGAGATGTTCGTATGCAGTTCGTCCAGAATGCCAACCTTCTTTAATTAAAGCCTTCATCCTCCAAATCCTTTAAACCAGACCATCGAGATCTAGAAGGAAGGCGTTTGATGACTTCTTAGTCGCGATAGGGTTCACTGAAGAGTATCGAGCTTTACTTTACCATAGAAGGCCCTCTGCTTCGTATCTTATCGGCTTATTTTACAGAGAGAAAGTTCTTTACTCTCTTCTATAATTCATGCAATTTCAGTGTCAGCATCTGAAATCAGAAATTTTCAGGGCATGGGCTCCTTCGATGTAATGTCAAAACGAACCAAGAAGACCTACCATCAAAAATATGTTTATTCTTCGTTGATACTTTAGGCAAGAAACAGTGTCGAGCATCAGGGCGCACACTGAATGGGAAAGAGAATTACGACGCAATAAACAATCGAATATAAATACAAAATTCAAAAATTACCCTGGTTCAAAAACAAAGATATTGCAGTAGATAAAAAAATATCAAAATAAATCATGAATAATCATCAGTTGAGACAGAGAATATTATAGTCATGATGCATTAAATATAACAGGATAAGTAAAATATATAGAATATATCTGCTCAAATGCGTTAATTAACAGTTCAATCTTGTCTACACCTCTACCGGTAATGATGGTTGAACCGCCTGCGCTAAATCCAGATAATTCTATACACAGCTCACAGTGTCTGCATGTTCACCGTGGCTGTGAACAACGTTCTGGGGTGTTCTGCTAATTTCGCCTTATCAGTCTGAACATCTTCTCTATACATATAGAAATAGTATGATAATTAGAAGTAAACTGTTGTCTTGCGCTATTTGGCATACTCTTAAGTACAAGCATATGCTGCTATTCATGCAGCCGCAGTTAAGGTGTGCGAGATGAAAAAAAATTGTTTGTGATGAGCATGACCTGATTCTAGTGAACGAAACTATTGGAAATATATTTGGCACCGCTGGTGCTCAAATACCTCAGGGACATGAATTGCATAACTTGGAAGCCAGATAACTATCATCAAGCGGCGATGCAATGCGGTCTGAAATCTGGTAGTAGAATAGTTACGCGAAATCTAAGTTTTCCTAGTATATGGTATGATCAACCTATTCTAGAGCTGAAGGCTTGAATTTAATATAAAATAGGTAGCGTATTGCGGTTTATTACTAAGATATATAACCATTAACTTATAGAAAACCACTGATTTCCTGTCAGTGGTCACGTATGTCAAAGTAGAATTTGAAATGTTGACAGGAGTGATTTGAAAGAACAGCTTTAGCGATCTCAACAATACCTGTCCATTATGAGCATCTTCTTTGAGCATCGAAGAGTGCATCGATATACCTGGTACAGAAAAGCTTGTGCACAGATTAAAACGCACCGTAATGGATGTTGGTGTCATACGAGGCGCAAAGCTCTCAAATGTTCACCACCATGCTGCTGCCACCCTCCGCTATAAATGGCGGTGTATCATGTGAACAGCTGGCTAAATGAGCAACCAGAGAGTCAGAAGGGAAATTTTATCTAATGCAGATATGAGGAAAAACTTGCCAAACTATTGCACAACGATTTCAACGATCCCGATGATGACCGTTGATGTGAAAATTGAACGGAACCTCAATAAGAGCGACCTATACGGGCCTGCCATCCGAAATCTATGTTTTCAATCGCGTTGACCTGCCGCCTGGAGAACAGAAACAAACTTATTCGTGGAAAGGGAGGTTTTACTGGCTTTCACCGACAAGTTTACTGCCGTCAACAGGTGGATTCGAAACAAAGAGTTTAACCTAAATTGCAATTCAGAAAGGAGAACAGCAAATGCAGTGCCCAAAGCTGCAGCTGATTGCTGTTAAATGTTCACTGTGTCGAATTTCAAGATGACAAACAAAGTATCCTAGTCGACCATGGAAAGAACGAAAGTCTTGTAGACTGCTAATGGGCATGTCTGGATAGCTTATTATCAAGGTTGAAGACGCAATTCAGCGAATGAATCGCTGACCGCAGGAAAGC